TAGTTTATGATTTTTCTCTGCCTCCAGACCAAATGCCTAATCAGTCTGATCTACTGGTTCTAGGAAACTAGAGTTGTCAGCAGTTATCTGAGCTGTTCAGGGGTGAACCTATAAAATCATCACTACTCTTCAAGCTCAGATCAGTTGACAGTCTCATTACTGAGTGCTGCAATCAGGATTTACTGACCTTATGGCATTCCTCCTATGAAGAGAGAGGTCCAGGCTAGTAACACCCAAACTGATTTGGTCCATTATGAAAAGCACATGGCCAGGAGTTAGTTTAAGAGCAGCTCAGATAAAGGAGAAAGTGCATGAAATCATGAGTAGAAAGCCTTACAGTGCTCAGATTTTGGAGAGAAAAATGAGGTTCTTAAAGAAATCCACAACCCCCACATCTTGGTTCCCTGCTGATTTAGCCCAGGAATGTCATTCTTGCAGCTTCCAAAAATAGCAGCATCACAAAAGATAAAGGGGATGAGCCCCAGGGACTTTCCCTCACTGGCTGAGTTACCAAAGTCAGTTCTAAGACATGTGGGATCAGCAGATAAAGTTTAAGATAAACTCTAAAAAAGAAAAAAAGGGTAAACTCTAAATAAGCTATTAGCTGAAAGGACATGAGAGTGTCCTTCTTTTTAGAAATTAATTATTAGATGCAATCCATTGCCTGCTTAAATCAAGGGGTTGTTCTCCTCCCTCCATTTTTAACAGAATTGCATCTACGTTGTCAACATAGCACAACATATGTGGATAAGAGGTCAAAGTGCCATAACACAACCCAATGCACATAGACAACCTGTAAAGGCAATACACATTTCCACACTACTCTCTGTACTTTAATGTGCTACCACATCCACAACTTGCTTTTGTTGTCGCTAGCTGGATATGACCATTGCACATTGTCTAACAACCCCTCCCTTGCGCCTGTGTTTGTCACTAATGGGATGCCAGCCATACATTTCCTGGGAGAATCAGAAAGGGAAAGAAGGGCCAGCAAAGATGCTAACAGGAATGCTATTGAGTAGATGGGTTATTGATTGTAGCCCAAGGTAAATATCCATTTGCTAAATCATATATACAGGTCATTTCAAGGTTAGGCATTTAGGAAGTAGATTAGCTTAGGGGTTTTAGACTTCTTGGAGAAGTTTAAGACTCTGAGATAGTGCTAAGGCTAACACTTTCTTTTAAAAGCCTTACTATGTTATTTCCTTAATCTACGGGCAGGGGTAGGCAACAGCTCCCAAAAGCCTCAGCCATATTGGCCAATAGTCCCATGTTGGCCAATAGCTTTTGGAATTCTGGGAGCTGAAGTCCCTCAGCCCTTAAAGGGGAAAAGTTGCCTACCCCAATCTACGGTATCTTTTCTCACCCTTCCCCAACCAACCCATGGTGTTTCTGCATCCCCAGACCCATCCCTGTTATTAGATGAAGTGTGGTAAGTATTTCAGCTGTTAGATGCTAGAAGACAGCTGTGGTCTTAAGAATGGTGGAAGACGTTGACCAGGCACTGGTGTTGGAGTCAAATGCCTTCCTAGTTTCTTTTTGTACAGAGAAGAAGTGGTGGGACCATCTGGATCTTTGTCTCAGGGAGCAAAATATCTTGAGCTGGTTCTGTTCTCCTGGCTGCATGACACAGCTTGTGCTACTCTTAGGTCCAAATGTAATGTGATACCATTAGATCCACGTGCAGCTGCTGCCAATGAAGTAGTACCATAAGCTTTCATAGATTTGGGGAGGAAGCAGACGGGTGGCAGAGGGCCATCCCAGGAAGCTGATGATCGGGGTTGAGGCATCCCCATTCCTTGGCCCCATGGTGCAGCTTCGCCGCCCCTGGAAGGAGCACTAAAATAGAGCTCCTTCCACAAATAGCTGAAGGTGCACTGCAAAAGGCTGCCGGCGCACCTTCAGCGGCTTTTCCGCTGCAGTGTGTGTGGACACTGCAGCGGAAAGGCATCCTTGGAGCGCCGGCTGTGTGGAGGGCCGGC